ATGGGGAGTTAGTAACAACAGATGAGGGAAGGCCGAAGTCCTGAACAACTTTTTTGTCTCAGTCTTCAATGGCAACTTCTTTCCTCAGAGCTCTCAAGAGGATGGCCCGCAAGATATGGACCAGCGAGAAAAAGTCCCTCCCACAGTCAATGAGGAGAAGGTTTGTGAATACCTGAGGAACCTGAACATACTCAAGTCCATGGGACCTGATCGGATGCACCCCAAACTACTCAAGGAATTGGCTGATGCAGTCACCAAGCCACTGTCCATAGTATTTGAAAAGTCTTGGCAGTCAGGTGAAGTACCTCGTGACTGGAAAAAAGGAAACATCACCCCTGTTTCTAAAAAGGGTAGAAAGGAAGACCCTGAGAGCTACCAACCCATCAGCTACAAGGGAGACCTTATAGTGGCCTTCCAGTATCTGAAAGGGGTCTACAGGAAAGCAGGGGAGGGACTATTCACAAGGGTTTGTACAGACAGGATGAGGGGTAATGGCTTTAAGCTAGAAAAGGGTAGATTTAGGTTAGGAAAAAGTTCTTCAATATGAAGGTGATAGATCACTGGAATAGGTTGCCCAAAGAGGTGTTGGAGGTCACATCCTTGGAGACATTCAAGGTCAGGCTTAATAAGGCTCTGAATAGCTTGATCTAGTTGGAGATGTCCCTGCTTACAGCAGGAGGGTTGGACCAGATGACCTTTGGAGGTCCCTTCCAACCCAGACATTCTGTGATCCTATCATTCTATGAATATTTGTGAAACCGAAGTGCTGATGGAAAAGGCAGCGACCCTTCCTCAACCCTCTTGTCTGTTACAAGTCCTTCTGTTGTCAAGTTTTTGTTCTCAGTAGTGACATCTCTTGTCTCCCCCTTACTACCAGATCTTTCCAGTACCCCTCCGCATCCTCTCAAGCCCTGGTACCAGCAGGCAGCCATCAACTAAAGCAGCGTACAAAATGTCAGGTGGGGAAGGCAGAGTTATTTTACCTCGTTCATCACCGGAGATCGTGAACTTGTGTGGACTTTGTCCAGTCCATAAGCCTACATAACCAAGAAACGTGGTGCCTTGATATGCTATCTGAAAGCAGGAAACATGCAGCATTACAGCATGCCAGGACAGAACATTTCTTAAAACACAGGCAACCTTCTGAAGCAGCAACCTGTACTTTTTTTCTGTGAATTTCCCACTTCAGTGGCTATAAACAGCCTGAAATTACAGTAAAACTGGCAAAGCAAATTCTAAAAGGACTAGAGACCCTTCCAACCTAATCTATTCTATGATTTTATGATGACCAAAATTCACTGTTATTTAATTTAACTAACACTGACTGCTCCAAAAGTTTTGCTCCAGTTGGTGAGTAGTCAAGCAAGACAAAGTTCTCCATTTGCAAAATGGACTCATGAATCTTAAGAAAACCATGCTAACAAGGACTGCACTAGCAACTAGTTAATTTTTGGAAGTTTCTATCTAAAACATAAATATCTGTCTCAAAAGTCAACAGGGCTTTAGGAAAAAAAAGCCTTAGAATCAATCTCTGCCAAAACGGATCTCTTTTCTATAGTCTCTAGTGTTTCTTTTCTACTATCTCAACATCTCTTGCAACATCTTTTAAATAATCATGAGATGATAGATTATATTGTTCTATTTGTTCCGGTTTATCACCACTAACTGAATGTCTAGAGAGAAAAGAAAAATTAGCATCTATCTTGCATTCCCAGAGAGCAGCTGCAGTGCTCTAATAATCCAGTGAATTTGGATAGGAAACACATTTCTACATTAAATTCCACTATGTATCCCTTTCCTTCATGGAATCCCCCCCAGCCATGCCAACCACAGCTCATACCTGCCCACTTTTTATAAACTGCACATCAATTGTAACCTTGCTTAATATATCGACAAAATCGTAATCCAGGTTCCGCCCATGGTAAATGTTTCCTTTGTCATCCTGAGCAACAATACTGGTACAGAACCTTGGAATACAAAAAGGAGAAAGACTCATTTCAGAAAACTCCACAGCAGCCATTTCAATAATAAGTGAGGAAGCATACTGAAATTCCTTTTTTTAGTAACTGTTTAGTAACAGTTTCGGTTTCATTGAAACAGGCTATTTTTAATGAAGTATATTGAATTGGTGGGGAATTAAAAAATTCACTCTGTGTTTGTCATTCCAGTGATGCATATTACTGTCTCTCAAAACAGTAAAGGTAAAAAAAAAAAATCTCGCCGACAACTAGTTTGTTCCTAGTTGATGCTTTTTCTTTAGTATTATTAGAGCTGAGAAACTTGAAATTTCATGGGCCTTACCAGGGCTAAGAATGGGAAATGTCTTCTGTGACATACTAAGAAAGCTACCATATAAATTACTACTTTACATGATAGTAAACCTTATTTTAAAAAACATCGTTTTAACCAAATAATAATCAAAATGTGTGCTAGTGGCTCTATGCACCTGCTTAGTAAAATCTATACAGAGAAATAGTTTCAGAATCCTCACAGGCAACACCAAGTGTTTACTGTTCTCCTGGACATGCTTCTAGGACAAAAAACGAACAGTGAAATCGTATATTTTTTTCCACTAAGGCTTTGCATGTTGTCATAAAGATACTACATTCATTTCCCATCATGGAAAACAAAAAATTACATTTTACAGGTATTGAACATTCATCCACAGAATAGTTTGGAAGTAAATTTATCTCAGATGAGCAGTTAAAATAATTAGATTGCAACTGATTCTTCTATTTCCTTGTAAAGTATGACAATTTAAACAACAAAACGGATTACATGATCTTTGAAGATAAATGAACCCAAATACTTTTGACTAAATGTCTCTTCCTTATTGGCAGAAGTTATCTTCATACATTTACGGGCTTATAGAGATAAACAGAACAACTTTACAGCTACAGAACAACATTACAGCTAGTTTTTTAACAAAAACTGCTCTGCGTTTCTTGTTCCATTCAGGATACTAACTGCTTAATGAGAAAAAAAACTTCCAGCTGAACACAGGAAACAAGATGAGAATGAACAGCAGGGATTATCTGCCATGTGCCCTCACCTGCCTTCCCGTGCATCCTCCCACACCAAGCTAAGATGAATCTCTACCTCCAGACTCATCCATTGCTACTACCAGGTTCTCTAAGTACCAGACACTTACGCAGTAGATTCGTAGGCGAAGTTAAGCAGGACTCCATCTCCAAGGCTTATTCCCAGGGCTTTGCACAATCCCATAATTTCCCCCATGAAGGGCTGTGGCATTAAGAATTTCAGTTCCTCTGCTACGGGCTGAATAACTTCCTGGACCCATTTTGGTACACTTAGACTGCAAAATACACTCAAGGCATTAGCTGAGAAAGAAACTAAAGCTGTTCACAGCTTACGCCTGGCAGCGAGGTACTGCAGGAGTCTGCCGCTCCTCTGATCAGCCTGTCCCACTTGGTGCTGGCCATCAGTTCACAGCCTCGGACACCGCCCCATCCCATCCTTCACCGAACCCCATAGGCCCCCGCACACCCCACAGAACCCTCCGCACAACGCGAGCAGAATATTTAGTACGCATTTCCTCCTCCTGAGATTCTTTTAATTCCTTCCAGGGATCTCCCCGGTCCACCCTACAGAGTAGGATACAGAAACCATCTATAGAGGTTTCTCGTGTAGTACTGGGTTAACACTCGATAAATCCCCTTAGTTTAGAGCTGAGGGCAGTTCAGCAGCCCTGCAGCATCTCTTTGCCCTTCCCCTTC